GGAGCCCCTACCAAGTATTGAGTACATGTACAGTAAATTAACATACTTTCCAGCTTTCCATTTTCACTAAAAATGTTTTTTTTATTGATCTTATGAAGTATTCTAATTTGTTGAGATAGTGAATTGGTGGGTTTTTGTTAAATGTGAGCCAAAATCATCACAATTAAAAGAACCAAAGACTTAAACTACTTTAGTCTGTGTGCATTGCATTTATTTAATACACAAGTTTCACAATTTGAGTTGAATTACTGAAATAAATGAACTTTTCCACGACATTCTAATTTATTGAGATGCACCTGTATATACTTTAATAACAAATAATTGTAACACTTTACAATAAGGTTCGATTAGGTAATGTTAGTTAATGTATTAAGTGTATTAACGTCTTAGTTAATTATTGTAAAGTGCTACCTAAATAATGTATTTTGAGCGTTCACTTGGCCGGGCCTGGTGAGACACTAGTTTCTAACTAGTATATATCCCAAACTATCTTAACATTTGTCTTACCAGTTACAAATACATTTGAATTGTCATATGTAAAACTAGTCAGAAAGACTATTTTATAGTTATATAACTTACTACACTGTTAAAGAAAAAAAAAAACAATAAAACAATGATTATTAGAGTACGTTTTCAGTCTTCCTACTTCAAAATGTAACGTTTAATTCGATGTGTTACATGCCCTTTCTTTGTGAAATTTACTAGCAATTTCTGAATGAATTTACTGTCGCATGTTTTTATCTTTTTTGAGGCGTTTCTAATACTCTAGCAGCATCGTGCGGACATTCAGTACTGCAAGCATGTGTGTTTTTCGGGCAGCTTTTTGGGAGCGGTCTGCTTCAACAAAACAAACAGTGATTGGATAATAAAGCTTTCACTGAGTAGCCCGATTCGACAGAGTACGTTTTCCCCACCCACTGAAAGACTAATAAAAGTTTCTTATTGGTTGAATTTAAGGTCCCGCCCAATGGCCAATTTTAATTGGCTCAAAGCTCAATATGGGTGGGCAGAATCTTCCAGAATCTAGTGGTGCGGTCTGTGACGGAAGATCTTTTCAGAAGAGCTTAAACAAGAAAATATACGTTTTTTGGGGGTTTGAATTCTGAATGCAGCCCTTATAATTATCGGATCGCGTGGAACTGATGAGATCTGAACGTGCAAACTTCTGACTGAAGCAGTGAATAAAGTGAAGCGCTTGTCACGTGAGTGCATGTGAATACTGGCTAGTCATAGCAACCAGCAAAGTAGCAAATATTACACCTTAAGTGGAAGCCATGGAAAAATAACTGTTCTGTCCGGACATTTGTATTTTGCTGCATGAATACCAAGCACACCATCTGATTTTCAGCTCAACCACAGCAGCAGCATCACAGTTTGTTACGGAACATGGACGGGAGTGTGACAGTCATCACCAACCCCACCGTGTCCGTGCGGGTGACCAGCACCGTCAGCTCCTTCGAGGTGAACCGGAGATTCAACCGAGGCATAACGATCGCAGAGTTTAAGGTGCGGCAGTGCAGCTCATGCCTCTTGTGTGATTTAGTCAGACATGAAATATGTGAGACATCACACTTCATGTGATATTGCCTATTGCAGAGCTGAATATGTTGTTGGGAACTTTCTCAGTTTTGTGTACTTTCTCATCTACATGGGGTTCTGATTTTATTTTGTTCCCACATTAATTGTACACTTGTCTATTACAAATATGTGGATTTGTTTAATAATTCCAGTGTATACTTTTTTCTTTATTTACCCCAAAAGAATGTAAGTGAAATGTGACAATATGACCCATAGGTGAGGTACATTTGAAACATGAGGGGCACGTTATAACATGACCATATGATAGCATAAAGGGGTCATGAACTGTATTTTGTATTATTTTTATAATGTTCTCTGAGGTTCACCTATAATGTTAGTGTGAATTTACATAAAAAAACAAAACATAATTTTGAAGTAATAGACTATTTTCTGTCCTGTTTTTGAGCCTTTGCAGAACAGTGTTTTTATAGGCGGGGCGCATTCAAGACTCGCAAGTAAACGCCCACTGCTATGATTGGACAGTTTTGCTTATTAAAATAACGGATGAATGCTGCTGTGGAGAAGCATCCGGCTGCAGCCTGTGGTGGACATCAACCGGCCCACATCCAAGTGTGACGTCAGACACCATGCCCATGTCCAAATACATCACGTTCTCATTAACTTTGAAAATTGTGAATCATTAGGCTTGTTTGAGATGCGTCGGCGCTGTGCAGACCGATCGGCGTATGACATCAAAGTATTTTGAAAGTAATTTAAAAAAGACAATGCAATAGTTGTAAAAACACCTTTACACACACTTATGTGTTGCGACACGGATTGACACAACAGATCCCCGACAGTAAACTGACGTCCTGCTCTATTTATGACATACTAGCATTCGCGCCGCTTCTGACCTGAAAGTGAAATAAAGTGATTTGCGACATGGCACAACAGCGCTAACGTCCGATCTAGATATGTTAGGATCACAAGGAAGGCAATTAAAGACTATTTTTCACAACTTGCTCTACACAGTCTTGTAATGTCATCTGTATGGTTCTGTTGATGGAGTAATCCTGTGCTTGCGTCTCTCTAGTATTTCCTCTCCTCCTACTACAAGTGCGTATCAGTGGGCGGGGCTAAAGTGGCAGTGATTTTGAAGCAGGCGTTGATCTTCTCCTGTGGAGGCGGTGCTTAGCCACACTATTATGTCATAAAGTGGCACGTTCCAAAACGAGTCTTTTTCTGAGCTTGGTTTCAGTAAAAGCTGTTTTTAAACTATCAAGAAAATTTTGAGTTTTGAAACTGCAGCTTTGGAAAAAAAATGGCCTGTGATATTTGGGATATGTTATGCTATTTATTAAAAAAAAAAAAAAATAAAGCGTATGGGATAGTGTCTTATTTAAAAATGACAAAACAGGCTTTTTTTCCCCAAGCTGTGGATGTAATAGGTTGATCACATGCAGATGCGCGATGTGTTGTCCAATGTGGCAATATGCTCAAATCACAGCCATGACCACTCTTGCATGATATCTAATATTCAGTACAACAGCAATTGTGGCTTTGTAATTTTGAGCCCTTAAAGGGTCACGGTGATGTAAAATATGGTTTTTGAGGAAAAATTATTTCAATGATTTTGCGTTCACTCAAAAAATGTGCATTCCCATAAGAAACTTTGCCTTCTCTCACAAAAGTATTATGTTTCTCTGAAATATGTTCGCTAGCAAAAGGTATGAAATAGAGTTTCCGTCCACTTCATATTATTTCCACTGCAAATATTTTGCGATTGAAGGCAAGGTTTCTTGAGGGACGCATTTTTTACGAATCATTTAGGGGTAAATTATGTACAAAGTTGACCCCAAAGTTACTACCCCAATGACAAGCTCTTGTACCCTAAAGGCACAATTTTTGCACTTTTATTTTTTGTATATTACATCACAGGGCATCAAACTGTGAGGGTCTATTTGGAATTTGGATGTTTTAGTTTATTTTCTAATTTAACATGTTTTTTGTTTGTTTTTCAGAGTAAATTGGAGCTGATTGTGGGCACCCCAGCTGCCTATATGGACCTTGAGCTATTCAGCACTTCAGACAAGTTCTTACAGAAGCTAGACAACAATGAAGCGCTGCTCGGCTCCTATCCTGTGGATGATGAATGCAGAATACATGTGGGTATTGACTCCTTTCTGAGACTCCGTCAACACAGAAAGCAAGTGATATGACAAAATTAGAACGCGTCGAAGGGATATGAGATGATGATTCTGTATATTTTGAAACCATTTTGATGGCATTAATAAAGATGGAATTCTTAAACTGTAGTGTTGTTTTCTGTGCAGGTGACGGACCGCAGTGGTACGCAGAGCGCGGAGTTCACTGATTTGTCAAAGGTGGAGAAATTCGAGATCTCTGATGAAGCCTATGAAAAAAGGACAGGTAATCCAGATCGGACATCATATTTCTGCCTGTGACACATTTGCTGAGTGATTTAATTCATAGCAACTTATAGTAACTGCTCAAATATTTGAGCTGTGATTTAACTCACAATGAAATGGAAATAGAGACACGTCATATCTTCCTTATTGTGACATACATGTGAGTTAAATGGACTACTGAAAATGGAAAAAAAAGTAGAACAGGGTTCTGTCAATCGTTGACTGGATGGAGGCAGATCAACTAAATGTGATTGTGCAGTAGAGCTGCACGATTCTGGATAAATTGAGAATCAAGTTTTTTTTTGTCTCAAATAGAGACTTCACAAAGTCCCTTAATTGTAAATAACAAAAAAAATCCTGTCGTGGAATATTATACTTGATGACTAATTGGACAAATGACATTAAAACGTCCCCATCAAATAAATCATGCAGAGTGGTGAGACCTTTATGTGCCCAAACTCGAAAATTTGGGTCTACAGTCCCTGGCAGGAAGTCGTAGTTATCACAAATAGGAGTAAAAGTTGAGGTGAGTCGGGGTCGACCCTCCAAACGTCTAATAAACTGCCATGCCTTGATAGCACAAATTGTGATAGGGTTACTACAAGCGACTTTTAAGGATTTAAACTTTTTAAGAAAAAGCAAATTTACTAAAGGAAGTTTACTGGGTGAACTTTCAATATCAAACCACACTGTTCTGGACCCTCTATGTACCCAATCAGAGATGTAACGTAGGTGAACACTTAACTGATACCCGAATATCTGGAAGGTCGAGACCTTCGACTGAAGATGGGACATTAAAGTTGAAATTTTAATACGTGCTTTTTTTTTAGCCCATATGAAGGAACTAAACCAACCATTCAATTTCCTAATGGTTTTATGAGTGAAATTTATTGGAATCATTTGAATGGGGTAAAGTAATCAATTTATCAAAAGTGATGATAAAGACATTTATAATGTTACAAAAGATTTCTATTTCAGATAAATGTTGCTTTGCAATCATTTTAAAATATATTCAAATAGAAAGTTACTTTAAATAGTAAAAATATTTCAAAATGGTACTGTTTTTGCTGTACTTTGGATCAAATAAATGCAGGCAACATTAAAAATCTTACTGTTCAAAAACTTTTGACTGGTAGTGTATATGTATTTAAAATATAATATATTTAATACGTCAATTTAATATTAAAATTATGAAAGATTTGTTTGAATCAATGATTCAACGACTCACTCATAAACCTACTGGATGAATCAGAGTTTTTGAACGATTCTCTTGAATAAATTATTAATTCAGTTATACATTTTTTTAAAACAATGCAATAGACACAAACGTTATGTGGCAGTTACTTTCAAACGCGGATTTGCCTGTGTCTGTCACGCGACTCTGTTCCCCTTTCGGGCTTGAACTGATGGTAAAACTAATGACATTATTTACTGTCTTTACATTTATTTTGAAAGATGAAGCTCGCGATTATGGTAAGGGGCGTTACATTTCCGACGAGTGCTTGCGGTGTTCGGCCAATCACAATGCACTGGGTCAGCTGGCCAATCAGAGCAGACTGCGCTTGTCGGAAGGAGGGACTTTGTAGAAAACGAAGCGTTTGAGAGAGGCGGGGCATAGAGGACCTACAATAATGTACAGTATTTGAAAAATAATGTGTTTTTTGAACATTAAAGCATGTAAACATATTCTGTTACACCAAATACACAAAATAATGATCTTTAAAAAAGCATCATATGACCCCTTTAACCAAACATGGTAACTGCTCTCTGTGTGTCAGCAGCAGTGCGAACGCAGATTTGAATGATCCGGTAAGATTTTGTCAAAGGTTTAATAGACACGGGAGAATCGTTGTCATTTAGAAATGAGATCGTGTGGTTGTCTGAATCGAGATCGCGATCTTTTAACGATTAACCGTGCAGCTCTATTGTGCAGTCAATTGTAAGAAAAGTGCAGGGTTTAAATGGGTTTTGATGAAAAATGACAAAATCAAGTAAATATGCATGAAATTGTTCACAAGAAGTTCAATAATTTGCATTTAAAAAAATAGGGTCTCATGCTGACTTTACCAATTTTGTTAAAAATTATGGGTGAACGTGGTTGAATTATGCAATACGTTTCCGTTTGCATTTTTTGCTTCAATGCATGAAATAGTGTTACGCTAAAATTAGGTAGTCTATAATGGTTGAGAAATTTAGATCACACATATTATTAGTGCTTTTACAATTAATGTAAGCAAATATCTAACTTTTCAGTTTTCTTATTTGTCAGATTCGATACGGAACTTCAAGAAGAATTTCAAGTTAGGTCGATTTAATGAGGAAAACAGGGCCAAGGAAGAAGAGGCTCTTGCTAAGAAAGAAGAGGAAGGGAAGGTGGCCGCCGGATCCATTGCTGTTGGGAACCGCTGCAAAGTTGAAGTTGTTGGGCAACCTACCAAGATTGGCACGGTTATGTTTGTGGGTAAGCTTACCCTCATTTTCATATCACACCTCTCAGATTAAAGGGGTCATATGATGCGATTTCATTTTTTCCTTTCTCTTTGGAGTGTTACAAGCTCTTGGTGCATAAAGAAGATCTTTACATTTGCAAAGACTAAAGTCTCAAATCCAAAGAGATATTCTTTATAAAAGTTAAGAGTCAGCCACACCTACCTAAAACGGC